CCCCCCCCCCCGCCATTCTCTCGTCAGCGGGAATCAGACGGCCCAATCTCTCTGATTGCGCATGTCTGTCCCCGCGCGCCCATTTCCTGCGAAGAGAACGCGGACCACGGACGGCTGCGAGCGAATGCGCTGATCTGGGGTAGGTCTGTCCTGCTGATGCCCACGATGCTGATTCCGCTACCAGCTAGTGCCCTTCATCCTAGTCCTGGATGTCTGCCTGCTCTCCCTCTGGCACGCATCGTGTTCGGCTGGAGCGTATGGTCTGCCCGTGGGTCCAGACGTGTTCTCATGATGAGACGGCCGCGGGGGTGCGTACACACTGTCCTGCCCTCACTGCCGCCGTACTTGCAAGATGTGCGACGCGTCGAGGTCGCGGTCTAGGTGCGTCGCCCTTGGCCTGGGTGTATGCGCCGACCCGATGGGCGAGGCAGACTCAGCCTCGGACGCCGGCATGGAGTGACTGGAGTGACTGGAGTCGGCAGCGCGAAGCCCCCTGTGACGTAGGGTCGTCACGCTCTCCCATTTCGCAGCCACAGACGCGCCTTCTGTCATCTCTGGCTTCCAATTCTATGCTCGCCCTTATAACATCCTCTCACGACCCTCTCGTTCTATCTCCTCCCTCCATGGCCCCTCCTCACACTTTCCAGTCCAAGACCTCGGATGCCACCCGCCGCAGGCTCTCCAGTGTCGCTGGGCCCAACAGGCCCAGTGTCCCTGGTTATACCAGCCTCACTGTGAGCTCCCCTTCCTCCATCGTACGGCTGGCTTGTCTTAATCCCATCTTCCCCTCTAGCCTATGTGGGCCGGCATAGCGGGCGCCGTCATTAACAACAATACCGAATTTGAGGTGGCCATATCCATCCACGACTCTGTTTATTGTACAGACTTTGCATCCTCCGTCGTGCCCTACGATGTCAACAACCCAGAGAAACAGGCCTCTGTAGTCGAAAAGCACGTCCTTGACGCCATACGCAGGTTTTCCACAGAGCACGTATGCAAATTCCTCGGTGCAGGTGTGACACTCAGTTTGCTTCGTGAGGTGAGTCTTCTTCTCCCCATCTATGTGCCCAGCTGACAGTGAAGATCCGTCCTAGGCGCCCAATCTCTGTACACGCCTCTGGCTCGAAATGGATATCGTCCCCATTGTCTTCAACATCAAGCCTTTCCATACGGATTCTATCACGCGGCCCAACGTCAAACATCGTATCTCTTCCACCACCGGTTCTTACGTTCCCTCTGGCGCGGAAACTCCCACTGTGTACTACGATCCTTCGCAGCTCCAGGACCAGACCAAACTCGCTGCTGGCGCGCAAACCAAACTACCTATCCCCCGCACCGTCGATGAACAGGCCGATTCGGCAGCGCGCAAGTGTATCATGTACTTCGGGCCTGGTAACAACCCGCGTCTCAGCATTGGGGCCCGTAATCAGGTTGCAGTTGATGCTGGGGGAAAGATTCACCTCCTCGACGATCTTGAGGAGTACCGCAAGACAGTGCACAGAGGCACGTGGAACGCTGTCATCAAGCTTGCAGATGAGCTGCGTGAGAAGAAGATTAAGATAGGTTTTTTCTCGTCCACTCCTCAGGGCGGTGAGTACATGTCAACATGCCGTGTGCGGAATTTGATCGCTTACTGTCTTCATTGGTGGGGTTTCGTTGGTACTGACGTACAGGCGGAGTAGCTCTCGTAAGTGGTGTCCCGTAGACTGTCCGTTTAATGAATGCTGAACTTAATTCTACAGATGCGCCATGCGCTCATTCGATTTTTCAATGCACTCGACGTCGACGCCGCATGGTGAGTGCTATTCACTTCTGTTACACTCTTTCCTTTCTGGTCACGGAGCATGGTATCTCATGACTGATTTCATATGTATTCGTGCTGATCGTGCTGTACGCCTGTACAGGTATGTGCCGAATCCCTCGCCGTCGGTCTTCCGCACCACAAAGAACAACCACAACATCCTTCAGGGTGTTGCGGACCCGAAGTTACGTCTCACACAGGATCAGAAGGACCAGTTTGACCAATGGATTCTCAAGAACGGTCTCCGCTGGACCGCCGAGGGTGGACCGCTGGCCAAGGGCGGTGTAGACATTGCGTTTATCGGTATGTAACATCGTCGCTTGCTTCGCGGTCCCGACACGAAGCGTGTGATTAATGTCCTTGACATCAATACCCCACAGATGACCCCCAGATGCCCGGTTTGATACCACTGATCAAGCGTGTGCGTCCCGACTTGCCGATCATCTACCGCTCCCATATCGAGATCCGCTCCGACCTCGTTAGCGTGGCTGGCTCACCACAAGAGGAGGTGTGGAAGTACCTCTGGAACAATATCAGGCATGCGGATTTGTTTATCAGTCATCCTGTGAACAAGTTCGTTCCCAATGATGTACCCGGCGACATCCTCACGCTACTCGGTGCTGCGACAGATTGGTATGTGCTCTTCCGATATGTTTGTTCGGTAGAGCCCGTCTTTATAACGTGATCTATCACAGGCTCGATGGACTAAACAAACATTTATCCCCTTGGGATTCACAGTTCTACATGGGCGAATTCCGTCAGTTGTGTGTCAAGGACAAGATGAATGAACTCGCATGGCCTGCCCGCGACTACATTGTGCAGATCGCGCGGTTTGACCCGTCTAAGGGTATCCCGACTGTCCTTGACTCGTATGCGCGCTTCCGTCGCCTTGCTAAGGGCAAGGTCCCCGATGATGAAGTACCGCAACTGCTCATTTGTGGCCACGGTGCGGTCGACGACCCCGATGCGAGCATTATCTACGATCAGGTTATGTCTCTCATTCATGGCAAGTATAAAGAGTATGCTTCCGATATTGTTGCCATGCGGTGCCCACCTAGCGATCAACGTGAGTGACTGTGACACGACTACTTGGTCGATTACTTATCGTCACTTGTGCAGTGCTCAATGCGCTTATGGCCAACTCTAAGCTTGCGCTGCAGCTGTCGACGCGTGAAGGCTTCGAAGTCAAGGTGTCGGAGGCGCTGCACACGGGTAAGCCGGTCGTCGCGTGCCGCACGGGCGGTATCCCGTTACAGATCGTACATGGGAAGAGTGGGTACCTCTGCGAGCCGGGCGATAATGAGGCGGTCGCGAAGCATATCTTCGATCTCGTCACGGACGATGAGTTGTATGAGACGATGTGTGAGTACGCGCGCACGCACGTTAGCGACGAGGTGGGCACCGTGGGGAATGCGGCGGCGTGGATGTATCTTGCAGTCATGTACGTGAGCCGTGGCGTGCGCCTACAGCCCAAGGGTGCGTGGCTGTATGACCTTATGCGCGATGAGACGGGCGAGCCGTACGAGCCCGACGAGCCTAGGCTTCCACGCGGAGATCTGCATGTCCAGGGTTGAGAGCGGATTGTAGGGTGCATAAAGGGCGTTGATGGACTGCAAAAATGTATTCTGATTTCTTGAGATCCGGTCTTGCCTAGTCTGTTGTTATCTGATAGTGTGTAGAAAAAGTGTAGAAATAGATGTTTTTTGTGTTGCTTGAAACTCAGTGTTTGGACTGACACTGAAAATTCTGCTGCTGTATTATTGATGATTTGTTCTTCAGTGTGTAGTGCCAACCAGTGACTATGTGCACTTGATTTATGCAATGATGTTATAAAGACATTGGCAAAATATAATTTGCTTTCTTATACTTTCAGTAATATTTGCACCTTTTCATTGAAAATGCTAAACAAGCATAGGTCATGCATAGCTTGTTTGCCACTTGTGTGCATTATGCAGCTGGCACAGCATCAGCAAAAATCCCCCCATCTAATTAGACTAGTCCATCATCTAAGCTATCTAAATAGGTAGAATTAGATCAAGATTAGTACTTTATTAGCTCTCAGATTCATTCAAATTCATGGCACACCTCAGATTCAATTAGAATAGTGGTATTTAAAGTAGATATAGGCTGTAGCTAAATATACAGTTTGTCCTAAAGTAGAACTGTTAAGGGACCTGACGACTGAGGATCAGGAGTTCAACTTATGACTACTACTGACAAAAGGTACTGCTATGCGTAAGGCTGATGCA